GGCCGGCCTCGGGCTGCGGCCGCTCTGCCGCCCGGGCCTGGCTTTCCCCGGCCGCCTGGTGGCCGTCCTGGCCGCTGTCCTGAGCAGTACTGAGAGCTGGGGGTCTCCTCCACATTTTACAGAGGGGAAACTGAGGCCCATGAAGGGAGGGGGCAGTCTAGTCCAGTCCACACGCTGGCGCGAGGGGAGAGGTGCAGAGCAGGCAGGCCCGGGGCCGGAGCTGGCCCGGCCCAGCACGTGCGCACCCCGAAGCTGCCCAGTACCAGGAGGTGTGAGAGCTGGGGAGGGACAGCGGGCGGCGGCGCTGGCCACCCCTCCCAGCCCAGGAGGAGGACAGAGGGACAGGGCCCCTGGGATGGAGCAGGCGACTCCCCTGCCAGATCAGCTCCTATAGATGCTTGTCGAGCCGATGGGGTGGGATGGGATGGGGGGGTAGAGTTCTGTGGCCCTTGGCTCTGCCTTCCTGGCTCAGGGTGGAATTCTCAGCCTGAATGAGGCTGGGAGGCAGCTGAGGTCCGCGAGTGCAGGGCTCGGCGCCGACTCCGGAGGTTGTTGGGGAGGAACCCTGGCTTTCCCCGTCCAAACCCCAGGGTGTGGGACAGGCTGCTCGGAGACTGCGCCAGGGCAGCGGGCCACCAGAAGCAAAAGGGGCTGTGGGGAGAAGGCCCAAGCCGAGCCCTGTGTGGGCCGCGTTCCGTAGACCTCTACATCACCGCTGTTCCTCCTTCCCAGCGAGCCCTTGCCTGCCTCGCGGCCGCAAGTCACCTTGATAAACAGGAGATTCCGCTTGTGTGTTTATTCTCCAGAGAGGTTCGGGCAGGTGGCACCATGGCTACAGGTTATGCCAGTTACCAGCAGGTCAGGCAGGGGCCCGTGGCCACGGGTCGCGCCAGCTTACCGCACCTCAGGTTCGGCTCTGCTTCCCTCTCTCGGCCCTGCCTCTCTGGATGGGGTGACGAGAAAAGCTAGACATCGGAGCCGCATTTCCTGACTTCCAAGAGCCAGCTGCGGAACACAGGGATATTTGAAGTGAAATGACACCCTTTCCGCTTGGGAGGGAAGAGATGGGATGGGCACCCAGGAAGGGTGTAGAAACCCGGAGCATTTGTGAAGATGACGTCACCGGATTTGGGAACAGGGCAGGTAGGGTGGGAGGCGGGAAGCCTGGGTTCCACAACACTGACGCTGGGTGACCACACAGCACCCAGCCTTGCTGAGCCCTGTCACCGCGAGAGGCTCTCTGAGGGGGAGCCTCTCCGGGCTCCCCGTCTGCCTCACTGTCTGAGGGGATCTATGCCTTCTTTGGCAGTCTGGGGTTTGGTTTTAGGGCCCAGCACTTGGAGCCCTATGTTTTCTGCTGAGCTGACCTCTGAGATCAGCATGAAGTCAGGCTCTGCTCTCTCTGTAGCCCCAGTAAGAGCAGCTGTGTTGTTTCTGTTCATGGCAACTTTCATGATCCGAAAGCCAAGTAAGAACTGCAGGGAGGCTCTGTGCTGGGCTGGGCTGAGTTGGGCAGGAGTTATGGGTGCTGGCTGGAGGTCTGTGGACGCATGGCAGGGCTCTATCTTTCTGAGCCTCTGTTCTTGCTCCGTCCAAAGAGACAGCAGCATGAACTCTGCCTCTTCCCCAGAGCTTGGAGGGATGAGGGAGAAGAACAGAGAAGGCCCCTCCTGTGCAGGGAAGCTTGGGGTTCCCAGCCTCTTCCCTGCTGCATGTGAACTTCTGTGAGGGGCCATGGAACACGGGAAGAGGAGGTGTTTGTGTGGGGCGTCTGTGGCCAGGGAAGGGGTGCGTGCTGGGTTCTCATCCAGCCACAGAAATGGCCTGGGGCCCTGGTAGTTGTACAGGTGAAATCAGATCAAGCGCTCAGTGCTGCCACCCAGCTATGCCCTGGGGCCGGGAGTCTGTTGCGCTGTGACTATCGCAGATCTCCTTCATTCCACACCCCAAACCTGCAGGTCTGAGCCTGGGTGATGCTGAAGATGATGACCTTCTTCCAGGGCCTTGTGCCAGAGACCCTCGGCACCCCTGGAGACCGCGCCAAACCGCAGTCTTCGTCGGAGTCCGAGGCCTCCATGTCAGAGGCGTCCTCGGAAGATCTGACCCCGGCCCGAGAGGCCGGGGCGGCCCCCGACGGGGAGGCCGAAGGGGCTGCCAAGAAGAAGTCAAAAGGACTGGCCAACATGTTCAGCGTCTTCACCAAGGGGAGGAAGAAGAAGAAGAGGGAGGAGAGTCAGCCTAGCCCCGCAGAGCCGGAGAACGAGCCCAAGCCAGAGCCAGCGCTGGACGGCCCACTGCCCACAGGTAGCCGGGGTCCGCGGGAGGGCGGGGCCGGCAGGGTCCGCGGGAGGGCGGGGCCGACGGGGGTCCACAGGTGGGCGGAGCCTTCGGGGGCGGGGTCCGCATGTGGGCGGAGCCTT